TCCGTATTCCGGTGGTCTTGAGCTTGCCAGGAAATATCAAGCTGTTCCTGGAGCACGGCTAGGGAATAGGGTGTGCAGCTCCATATGCACCGCACACAGCCGGCTGCTTGCAGCTTGATCGGGATGAGTTGTGACTGTCAGCCGTGGCTTCTACCTTGGAGAAAATCCACCCTTCCTCTGCGCGATTCGGGCCAAGCGACAGCACTGCCATCTGCACGTACCACGCTCAGCAGGCGACGTGCTTCCTCCTCCGCAGTGTCAGTGAATTTAAGGAGTATGAAACGATTTCAGCTGTACAAAGATAATAGAACTTTGGTTTTCCGATATTTTATACAGCTTTTTTTTTTTTTTTTGGTAAAGTACACTCTGTAGCTCGTCCTGATCCATACTACTCCTGTTACAAAGGTAGTAGCAGTAACAAGTGGGGAAATCCACCTGAAAAATGGCTTTAACACAATGCTCCAGCAGCAGGGGCTGCTGCCATTAGAGGCAGCGTTTCTTCTTAACGGAGTTACTTTTAGGACATTTCTTTAAAGGTCATTAATGGGTGTCAGGAGACAAAGGAAAGCGTTAGGCGAAGCAGAAAAAGGGACTTGTTTTCCAGCAGATGTTCTGCAACTCTCTATAGCTACGGAAAAAAAGTAAGTACAACCAGACCAGGCTCTGTCAATTCTGAATTCTTGGAGTTTTGACTCGATTTTTCTGTTTTGTTTTGTTAAATCATAACTAAAATTAATCACGAATTATTTTTTTTTTTCTCTTAGCCAAGTTGTCTGGTTATCTTCAGGCAGCCTGCTGCAGAAATCAGGGAAGGCTCCCACCCTCCAGTGGCAGGTGAAAATGGTAAAGTATCTACACATGATTTCACTGCGCTCTTAGGTTAAAAGAGAGGGATGGAACAGGTCCTTGCATCAGTAACTGCAGCAGATTGAGGGGCAGAAGTCCAAAGGACAAGAAATGAGTTATTTTGAATTAAATTGGATAGAAGCCACACATCCCGTAAACACCCACCAGCCACACTAAATGCGAGGGAAAAGTCGCCACAGAAATGTTGTGCAACGGAGAAGGAATTTCCCCAGCGTCAGCTTGGCCCTGCTCTCCAGCTGCTTTTCTCTTGCACAAGATGTGCAACAACACAGGAACGTGTTTGTTTATGGGAGCCTCCTGAGAGCCGAACCAGAGCCAAGCGAAAGCCTCGGCTCCTCCGGATACACAGCGTGCTAAATTCATCTCCTCTCTCCTGGTGGGAGTACGTCCCCATCCGACCCCAGGTACTGACTCACCGACCACCCTGAGCTCACCCTCAGCTGATGACTATCGTCTGTTTTCATCTGGGTTTTATCCTTCCGAGTTCTCCAGAGTGGCCAGATGAAGACATAAGCCTAAAAGTTGTCTTAAAGAACGAGCTGTTTGCTAGTAACGCCATTTATTTTCCCCACACTTCGCTTTGTGTTTGTTTTGTTTCTTTTTTTTTAAATAAGACACGTGGCTCCCGAAAGCAGCAAGTGCTTCTTCCTTAAGAAAATGTGACTCCGGCACCGCAGTCTTTCAGGAGACGTGACAGGTCTTTTGTAGCATCTGCTTTTTTAACAAACGCACAGAGAAAGTTTCAATGCCACTCGAAGGGGGCAGAGGCAGGTTTGATGACAACAATTAAACCTGCAGGAAGGTGTTTTTTTTTTTTTCCCAAGGGAACAACCTCCTTCCTGCAGGAACTGAAGACATCTTTTACATCGCGTAATAAGACGCACAGGTACAATGGGGAGCGAAGGAGGCTTTGTCCTCCCTTTGCCGCGCCAGAGCAGCGCTTTGTGTGTGTCAGCGACGGCGAGAGGACTCCAATAAACCCTTCTTCCTCCAACCACCTCCCCCATCCCCTCCGGTCAACAAGGAGATTGCTTTTGCCTCCAAATTGTATAGTATTTTCCTGCTAAGGGATGTCGAATTGTCTCTCGAATCCTCAGGTTTTCAGGTGACAGAAAATGGCATTCAGCCCACTGACCATAGCGGGGTACTGCCAGGAACGGGGCTCAGATCCTGCTGCTCTTTGTGGCCTTTTTTATTATTTTATTTTTTCGGCTTTGGCAGTAGGAGTTGCACCTCGAGTCAAAATCAAGCTGTGGATTTTTACAACGTGAGCTGTTACATATCCCCTGCTGGCGAAGGGCAGCAAGCATCAGCACAGCAATAAGGACAAATATTTTGTTGAGGTCCCATGGGCAAATTCTCTATTCGAATTAAAAGTGCAAACCTGACGCTGAGAATACTGAAATCAGCAGCGACGGTTTAGATCTAGGGCCAACACCCGACACTGTTTCCCAGGTATTTTCCAAGAGACACAAACACGAAATGCCTTTGTCACATGGAAATTAATAGATACAGCAGTGCTTTGCTTGCCATAGAAATAACTGTAAGGATGAGAGCCGGCAAGTCTCTTACCAGCCCTAATACTGATTTGTTTTGTTGTATTTTTAAGTTTTCATGGTAATTACAAAATTTGACTTTCTTTTTTTGCTAGACATCTATTGTTTTCCATGGTACCTGCACCATGAAGGAAGGCACAAATACGTGCTTCACGTATGAGGTTATTCTCCTGAAATGCTGTTTATATTTTTACAGCAAACACCAGTTTATCCTGGCGGATCGCAGCTTTTTTCCTCCTACAGAAAGCAGCTTCCTCTGTGGGGTGAAATCCTTGAGTAGCTCACACATCACAGCCTCTCTACTATCACTAGTAAAGAGCCTCTGCTGCCCTGCCCTTGCACAGCTACAGGGAACCACCAGAGGTGACAAAGGTGGGGTGTTTCTGGCCAATGCCGCTGAAAATCCAGGACAAAGTATCCCCAGCAAGCCTGGAGCATAATGATGGCTACTCTTTACTAATCCACCCCGGCCTCAGATCCTTATTTACTCCATAAACCACCCAACCAACGCAAAGCTCTTTTAGTCGAAAGAAATGACATCCTCAGCACGCGAGCAGGGACAGCAGATGGGAGAGCACCAGGAAACAATGAGACAATCCTGGCTGGCGGGTGTGAGAAAGGCCCCGGCGCTCGGCAGCCGAGTGGTGCCAAGGACGTGGTGGCAAAGGGGATTTCAGCGAGTGAATCAGAAGAGGAGCTGTTCCAACCGAACCGGGATTCAACAATAAAATTTTACTCAACTGGGATGTTTTTAAGATTTTAAGTTTTTGACTGAATATTGTTTAGTGAAAACAACTTGCTTGCCCAGGCAGTGAGACCTGAGGGACACCTGTACCAGCGCTGCAAACCGTTCTGTTGTCAAACTTGTCCCAAAAATCAAAGCTCAGCCAGTAGCAACCAGTCAGCATTCAAACTACCACCAGTGCCACTGGTTTACCAGCCCTAAATGTTTATTGAAGCTGTCAAGGGTTGAGGCTGGGCCGGCCACCAACACAGAAGCGAACGGGAAATACTAACGCTGTGAATCAGAAAAACCTGAGGCTTTTCAGAAAAGAGAAGGGAAGAGCAATCCGCACACTGGAAAAGAGCACTAATTTCATTAAAGGATTATCCTTCATAGAGGATTTTCTCTTTTACAAGGTTGAAAAACTTCCCATCTTCGCTTAAGCTCTATGGGAAGTACCAAAAGCAGCCCAGCGCTGGAGACCTGCCTGCGCTCCGTGGGGAGCAGAAGAGGGGCTCTTGCAGGGCCTGGCTCTGGGCACCTGTCTTCAACCCCTTCTCCAAACCCCCTGGTGAACCTCCCGGCTACAGGGGAACTTGGGAGAGATTAAGCCTTGACATACCACTGCCCCCCCTTCCAGTTCAGCAAAGTACTTAAGCTCATCATCTTCCCACTCTGACAGTGTATTTTAATACACAGCATGGCCCCTAGTTGAACAACTTTCTCTTTCATCAGCATAATTGCAAGGAATAATCAGTCATGACCAGAAGCTGCCTAAAGCATTTCCTAGGCTTTAGGTTTGGGCTTCCAACCAAAAGTCTGGGGGTTGGTTAAAAGACCATGGACACGGTATTTTGTATAACTGATTTCTTTAATGGCATAAAAACTTCAAACTTTTCCTGCAGGTAAGACAAAAGAGCCGGTGCTCTGTATGTTTTGACAAAATATTCTGAACATACCGATACCACAAAATAGAAGTTATTTTCTATTGATTTTAGAAAAAGCCTAAATTAGGATGAGCATACAGACCCTTGTAATGGATATACAAACGGATTTGCATAAACAGAATCTGATTCAAAAGTCTAAGCGCCCCAAGGTTTTCACGTCAAAACTCTGGATATACTTTCACGTCTAACTAAACGCTGTCAAGGGCTGCTGCAAGATGCCATTACACTGGGGAAAAAAAAATCACATTATTGCTCCCGTGAAAATGAACTCGCTTATTTTCTACTGACAAGAACTTCCGACGCCATCTTCTAAGGTCCTTCTCGGGACATGACAAGCCTGAAAGTTTAATAAGCATTCCGTCCCCTCAAGTGTCAAAGCTCTATCTTCCTCGTGCATCTCAAGGATGAGAACTTCCTTCTGCAGATAAAGGCAACAGAAAAAGGCCACCACTCCGGTTCCCAGCGGTCACCACCTTGCACAAAGAAACGTAACTCTGCTTCAAGGCAGTATTTCACATCAGGTTGGCTCGCCCAGCTTTGTCAGTCTGACTTCTTAACGCTAATAAGAACTCTTTAACAAAATTCTCTTTTCTCATCATGTGCTCCCTGACAGCAAGACAGAAGGAGTGTGCACGTGCCCAAAGCGCAGCTAACGACAGGAAAAAGGTGGCTGGAACTGTACAGGAGAGGCCTCGTTTCTTCAGTCTCTAAGCTCATGAGAGACACAGAGATCCCTTGTTTCCTGTTCTGAACTTAATTGGGTATTGGGGGGGAATGGGGTTGTTCCCCCTAACACGTGCAGACTTCCCAGCCTGCGAGTCGGAGAAAGGTGACAGTTCTGCAGGGGCTGCACCAGCACAGTCTGTACGAGAAGCACAACGTGTAAACAACGTGACCACTGACTTTCTACCGGGTTTGGAACAGGCTCTGAATCTTATCGTTCACTTCCTTTGTAAACTGAAGAATCTCAGAAGACTTTCCTATAATATCAATGTGAGTATCATAAGGAATGATCAAAACATAAGGGTAATGGGGTTTTAGGCGTCCACACACCCGTTTGTATCTCTCCTTTTCATCTCTGGTGCGCTCCTCAAAGCAGATCCTTTCTTTACGTAAAGTGTTATAGAGTTCTATAGACTGATGTTCAATTTTCTCTTTGACTCTTAATACCTGTCCAGCATCAGATCTCCTTCCAGCACTCTCGATACACAATGTAGTTGTATCACCATCAGTGATGTCAGAAATCACAACGTCATCATTTACCTGGAATGTCCTGCGCAAAAAGCACTTCATGTACTGATATATATCCGTGTCAAGAACAACCACTTGTTTTACCCCATCTGCATCATGAACGAAATGACTCATCTCCGGGGTAAGTCTGTGTTGCTGTAGCATCCTCCTTGGTCTCTGATGGGACTGACTTTCTCCTCTTTTGTCCTCCGAAAGGGATTTTGCTTTTAGCAAGAGAAAGTCTCTCAGCAGTTTGATGGCTGGAAACGGCCCCTGAACAGAAATAAGCCCATTGGATCGCAGAGGACCAAAGCTCAAAGCTGTGCTCTTCTTTTTAATTTCTTGTATCAGATCTTCTAAAACAAACCGATCTTTGAAAACAGACATATCAAGGACAGACGTCACGGAGCTGAAGACCTAGAATTTTGAATTAGAGCAGTTAAGCAACGGTTAACACATCAATGCAAGCACAACGAGATGAACTGTGAGCGAGCTTACGTTTTCCCAGTAACGGGTGACTTTCAGCGGATAGTACCCGGCCAGCCTCTTGTCTTCTAGCAGATGTTCACCCTTCTTCAGAACGCTCTCTACAACTAAAGAGAAACCCAGATTCACTCGTTGCGCAGCACGGTAACGCGTCATCGCCGCTCTGATGGCGGAACGCTTCACGGGTGGTTTTCTTTTGATGCTTTCCCTAACAATTCCCCACGCGTACGTGCAGGTGATTCAACGCTCTTGCCTAATACTTTATGTATTAGTCACAATCGCGCAGAGAGAGACAGAAGCCCGTCTTCGTGGAACATGAATTGGCAGAGATTTCTTCTCAAAGGCCCGACTACAAAAAACATTCTGTTATGCGCAGTATCAATGTATTCCTAAAAACACACAAACCAAACGCTTTGCACTGTCAGAGTCATGACTTCCCTGAACAGAAATAAAACCCTAAAGCTTCGACTGACTAAAAGAGAAGTGTTAGTCTCCCAGTTCTACAAAAGCCCAGTACCAGGAAACAATTTAAAAGCGTTAGGTTTAGGGTTAACATTCCAGGGCTAGTTCTTTGGGGGACGGCTGTAGTTCCTATGGCACAATAATCTAAATACCTTCCTGATCTTCAAAAGTTACATATGCAACTCCTTCTTTCCTTGTTGGGTACATCACGTCTTCCACGTCTCCACCGTTATTCTTCGCCATTTGGAAATGAATCACCAGTATGTCAGTCATGACGTCGTTGTGCAGGAGGCCATCTGGAACACCAGCGACGACGACTGTCCTCGCTGATCTAGCGGCTCGTCCTGGTGCCTGCGCACAGAGACATGGCACACCGTAAACACAAGGAGCACCCGTGACCTCCCGCAGAGGTTACCCAGAGTCCCCCTGACCGCTGCAGCGACTCCCCTTCCTTTTGCACAGACACCACGCGCCTTTAGGAGGTAATTGAGACGTCCACTGAACCAGATTTCAGTGAGCACCAGGCTCCCTCCAGCATCTTTACATTACTGTGCAGTAAAAAAGGGCCTGACTCTTAGTATAATTGACACCCTCTCAGTGTCTTCTTTTCTTAGAGCAGTAAAAAACAGAGCTAAGCTCAACAGCTTCTCAAAGGAAAGGTCCAGTGTCGCACTGATAATGTTGTTTCCTCTGATCCTAATATTCAAAATTTGAAGAGAATGAAAAATCTTAATTGCACGTACTGTTCAGTAAGGATTGTTTTTTCAGAGTGGAAGGGTCAAGTTCGGACTGTCCTGTCCTTGTTAAATTCGTGGAGCTGGGATCTAGGGTTGTGCCCTGACTCATCTCTCGCCACTTATTAAATGGACAACCTTGTTAAATGGGAAGAACACAATCCCAGTCATCTGAGACTCGCGGTGCGCAGAACAACTAACTACACACATGATTTTCATCAGAGCCAAACCTCCCCATGCTGCAAACATGAAACCCACCCTAAATAGGATTTGCATCCATGTCTTGTTAAGAAAAGCGTATTTTCTTTCCATTCTTATTACACAGACATAAACAGCAATATTTCACTGGGAATATCACGGCAAAATTACTGTAAACAGAGGAACACTGAGTCAATTTTGTAACAGTTCATTGACTTTTTTGGAAGAAAGAAAATAATTTCGTATGCTTGCACGGCAGCGTTCACGGGAATGAACTGTCAATAACTTCAGAGCGACTGTACTCAAGGTCAGTCACTCTAAATTCTTTAGACTCCTCTTACCAAGTTTATTCTGGACCTGGGCTGCATAAAACATTGGGGCCAGCACAGCAGTTACAAAGCCTGCAGAATGTGCCGCTGGGGGCGAACGCTTTGCTGACGCGCGTCAAAAGCCTTGTGGACCACCACTGCAGCGTTCCCAAAGGGAGAGAGGAGACAGATTCAATGAGACTGTGCAACCATGCAAGCTTTAAACTCATAAAGACATGAGGCCATTTTTTATCACTCAGCAACTTTAAAAAGCCAGGAGCTTTAATTATATTAGGCCATTATTTTGGTAGTAACATGCGTGTGAAAGCCAGCTTCTGCACTAATGAGACAACACGAAGAGAATATAAAACCAGGGTGCTTCCATGATTGACGGAGCTTTACACGGGGCTTTCTCACGCTTCCCACAGCCGATGCAGCCCGTGTGCGAGCGCTCAGCTGCCAGCCAGCACCTCGCACCTTGCTGGTATTTCGGAACAACGCTCCTGCCCGTTTTGGGGACAGAAAAAAAAAAAAAAACAACCATGAACATGCAGTTCGTTCGTGCTGAATCACTTCTAAGACATGTCTGCGCTCAGCGGCCGTGGCTGGACAGAAGTGGGGAGGTGTGGAAGGCGCTGGGTGGGCGGGTATGGGAGAGGAGGCCTGCAATGCTGGTCACGGCTGGCCGCAGGGCCCCGCGTTTGCCCTTTCTTGGCAAATCTGCTACGCGGCTCAACGCCGACGAGAGAGCCGATGACCCACAGAGCTCACTTGTGATGAAAAAACCTGCAGTATTGGTACGAGCGAGAGGGAAACCGGACCTGTC